AGACCGGACTTCAGGCCACTGGTTTGCATTGCCTCTGTCTGCTTAGCGAGGTATTTATATAGCCCCTATCACTGCAACCACTCAGCACCTCGCACGGTTTAATGTATTTCCCCTCACATCCCTCCAGGAGGCAGGGCACAGCTCCTCTCCTCCCCCACTCCCCGGCAGAAGGGAACAGAGACACGGAGAGACTGCCCACGGGACCGGACTTCAGGCCACTGGTTTGCATTGCCTCTGTCTGCTTAGCGAGGTATTTATATAGCCCCTATCACTGCAACCACTCAGCACCTCGCACGGTTTAATGTATTTCCCCTCACATCCCTCCAGGAGGCAGGGCACAGCTCCTCTCCTCCCCCACTCCCCGGCAGAAGGGAACAGAGACACGGAGAGACTGCCCACGGTCATACAGAGCATCTGCCCATGCTGGAAATGTAAATTAAGACTGGGAGTCATGTTCAGAACACTGTGCTTGGTTCAAACACGAGTCACTAAGCTTGATTTACCTGGGAGGGTCCCCAGCCCACGTGGTGCAGATCAGAGTAGAAAAGCACCATGGGCCCTTCTGGCCTTAGCCTCAATAAGCCAAACACACTTTATTCCAGCCCACAGCACTCTACTAGCCCAGCCCCTCGACCCAGGACTGGAAGACAGAAACCTGAGTTTCTGAGAGGGAGGGGAAATGCGAAAACAAATGAGAATCCTTTGTCTTGGCATTCCCTAGGGTCTTCCCAGCACTAGTCAGAAAACCAACCCTCCAGGGAACAGAGTCTGACTCAAAGCAGTCGCTTTGAGGGATCCCCCCAGTACTATCCCCAGGGCAGCTCATTCCCCCAGCAGCACAAGGACTAGGCAGAAGCAAGACCAGTTAAACCTGCCTGTCTGGGCAAGTCATTCATCATTTCTCATTTGCAGGGCTCAGATAGCATGCTGATGGGCACAGCCACGAACCTGAGCAGAACGGTGCATTTTCCCAGGTTTCCTTTACACAGACTGTCCTTGGACAGGCAGAAAAATGCTCAAACCTGCTTGTTCTTCAAAATCAAGGGCACAAGGTGACAACCACTGCCACAGCAGATGGACCCACGGGTCCCATGTAGCCTGGTACCCCACTCTCGGACCAGTGGTCCCTCTCCATCTCCCCACTGCATTGGCTCAAGCCGTGATCACATCAGTTTCCAAAAGCAGAGAGCTGAGAGGAAAGTGAGAGGAATCCAGTCACAGGCAACTACAGAATAACCTGCACACAAGGATGCAGTTTCTCTAAGCCCTGGCAGTCAGAGGCTGATTTATGCCTGGAAGCAGGAGCACAGATGTCCTTTATACACTCGCCCAGCTAATGTCACTGGCAGTGTTCTTCAGGGAGTTGATCTGGGCTCACAGACTGTTCTGAGTGGCGAGCACTGTGGGTGCTACGCATGCTGATTTTGATCACTACGATGGTGGTGATAAAAAATAACAACTTACCTCTTGGACCAAGTCACATGGTGTTGCTTCTATTCCCCGATTGGATGGCGAGGCTTTTCACGGCAGGAGCCCTGTATAGCTAACACCCAGCAGATCCCAGCAGAATATGACAGCCAATGCTATGAGATGAAATTGGTTGGTTAGATCCATGAATCAAGTTGAGAAGAAGCAACACTACATGACCCCATGAGTAACCAGTTTTGAACTGCACCATATATGGTTAGCTTTGTGTTGGCCTTGTCTATCAAAACATCTCTACAGCATCCATCAGCAATGAAAATGAGCACCCTCCAGTGTGCCCTCCCCACTCCTGTTGAGGTACCACAGGGAAATGTTATCTCTGTTTTACAGATGGCTAAACAGAGGCACAGAGAAATTCAAGGCCAGTAATTTCTGAGGTGAATAATGATTTTGGGTTGCCAACTTGCCACACATGAAAGGGGCCTGATTTTTACCAACCAAGTGCAGAGCAGCCACCTGCTGAAAATCAGACCAAACATTTTGTCCTGGCTCAAGCTGTCACTTAGAAATCACTAGTCACTTCCAGAGCTCTTTGTGCAGGTGAGGTGCCCATGCAGGTGCGGGGAGCCTCAGACATAGCTGGACCCACCCGGTCTGAGAGTCCTGCAGAATCCTATGCACAAGTCAGACCAGCTTTGCAGCAGGAGAAACTGCAAATGAGCCAGAGGGACAAACAAGCCTTTCCCAAAGGCGCTGGGGGTGCCCAGATGTTCAGGGGCACGGCCTGGGCAGCTGGACAGGGGCAGAAGAGAGGCAGGGATGTGGCTGGGACGTAGCTCAGGAGCAATGCCTCTGAGTGAATGCACCCAAATCCTATGCACAAGTCAGACCAGCTTTGCAGCAGGAGAAACTGCAAATGAGCCAGAGGGACAAACAAGCCTTTCCCAAAGGCGCTGGGGGTGCCCAGATGTTCAGGGGCACGGCCTGGGCAGCTGGACAGGGGCAGAAGAGAGGCAGGGATGTGGCTGGGACGTAGCTCAGGAGCAATGCCTCTGAGTGAATGCACCCAAGGGCAAGGGGAGGCTGTCATGGCGTGGGTGGGGGCAGCAACCCCCGCCCGCCCCCGGGAGTAGGGTTGGGGCGAGGAGGGGCCGGGGAGGGGCAGAGTCACGTCCCTGCCCGGCCCAGCGCTGTGCGCGCCCCTCACCTGCAGGCTGCGGCTCCGGGGCTGGGCGCGGGGCTGGCTCCAGCCCGGCCGGGCGCTGGGATCGGGGCTCTCTCCCCGCCCGCTCGCTGGCGCACACCCCGCGGGGAGCAGCGGATCAGCTGCGGGCAGGAATCCGGGCTCACAATGGAGGCAGCAGCAGCCTCTGACCCAGGAAGCTCAACCCCCATCCTGAGCGGAGAACAGAGAGAGCCGCCTCCCCGCGCCAGAGACCTCTAGCGACAACGCTCAAGGGCCCGGCTCCCTGCGCTGCCCCCGGCTGGCCCGGCTCCGGCAGAAGCACGTGCTCCAGGAAGGGGCAAGAGCAGACGTGTGGAAACCTGCCCCCAGGGCAGCTCCCACCCTGCGCTCTCGCAGCCTCCATGGGGTGAGCGCGCGTGCGTGCTAATGCCCCTCCAGAAAGGTTTGCTGCGGGTGATTATGGGACCCCTGGATAGCCTTGCTTCTCCATGGCAATGTCCCGTCCTGCTAAATCCCTGGTTCTCAACCATTTCCTGAGGCAGTGAGTTCCCACGCTGTGAAAACAGCATTTTCCCTTCGTTGGCTTTGAGCTTCTCACCTTTTAATGTTGTGGGGGTGTCCCTTGTTCTCGTATTATAAATCCGGGAGAGCAGAGACCCAATCCCCCGTCTCCAGATGGCAGAACAAGGAGCAATGGTCTCAAGTTACAGTGGGGGAGATCTAGGTTGGATATTAGGAAAAACTATTTCCCATGGAGGGTGAAGCACTGGGATGGGTTCTCTAGGGAGGGGGTGGAATCTCCATCCCTAGAGATTTTTCAGTCCCAGCCTGACAAAGCCCTGGCTGGGATGGTGGAGTTGGGGTTGGTCCTGCTCTGGGCAGGGGCTGGACTCAATGACTCCTGGCAAGAATGGGGGCTTCAGGGCTACACCAAGGGACCTGGGACACTTGGAAGGTCTCCACAGCAACCCTCCCTGTCTCACAAAATAATTTGCCCACCAAGTGTTCTCCTGTGTCCTTCACCTTCCCTTGCACCCACCATCTCCCTGGCTCCTTCTCTGCCTTGTAACAACATAGTGGAGAGCTGCTTTTCCCTGCAGGTGGCTGGCTTCTGCCACACTGGCAACAACGGGAGGCAGCTGCCCTCCGCTCGCCTCCATGACACTTGCAAAGTGGCAGCCGTCTTCACGGACGTTCTGCTGAGAACAATGCGGGGAAGTGGGGAGCACTCTGAAGATGGGCAGGGCTGTGTGAGTTTGCTCTTCGTTATCCTCAGATAGTGAGAAAGTTTAAAAACACACAGATGTGATATTGTGAGTCACCATAACATCACCAGTTTTCAGCCCATCGCCCCCAGCCTGGGACCAGAGAGTTAGTGCCCCTACAGAGCAAAGGCCCCATGTCCTATTCTTCACCCCAAAGCCAGCCAGTTCCCCCATTTGGGGCCAGACTGGATCCAATGCCTCCTAGAGGGGAAAAGCCCCATGTCCCATTCCTCTGCTCTGAGCCAGTCAGTCCTCCCACACTGGGACTCCATCAGAGCCAGTGCCCCTACAGCGGAAAGTCACCATGTCCCATTCCCCACTCTTGAACCAGCCCATTCCCTTACCTTGGGACTAGATAGGAGGCAGAGCCCTTGAAAAGTCCCTGTATCCAACTTCCCACCTCCCTGAGCCATCTCCTGAAGAAAGAAAGAAGCTGAAAAGTTAGTGAGAGCAGCCCAGTGTGGTTAAATGCCAAGGTAGAAGTTTATTTGCGCTCAGCAGAAATCACACAGTGTAAAGCCAGCCTGTGGGCAGCCAACAGAGAGGAACTTACATGGCGAGGTGGGAATTGAGAGGGAGGACAGGCAATCTGGAGGGTCAAAGACATAAAGACACACATCTGGAAATGCCTCACAAACCCCAGAAGCAGAATGGCTGCGCAAGTCCATGGGCCCATTTGACCTCGACCTCTCAAATCTTATCACACCTCTTAACAGATTGTCTTGTGTCCAATTTCCTATCCTGATCCCCATTGCCCAACCCCCACCTCCCATCCCGTTTCCTGACACCACTCCTATTTCCTCTTCCTTTATGTACAGGGGCAGCTAGCCTGGCTCCTCCTCTTTATTCCCAGTGACTTTTCAAGGCTGTCAGGCTCTTCTTTGCCAGCCACAGCCAGTGACTTTTCAAGGCTGTCAGGCTCTTCTTTGCCATGGACAGCCACAGACATCTGGGGAAGTAGCTGTTGGCAAGCCAGGAAACAGCCAGCTGTCTGGACAAAAGGCCAGAGTTCCTTGGCTGTACTTGGGGAATAACTGTCCCAACACCTGGCTGAAATAGCAGCTCTCTCGGAGGGCAAGGACTTTGCCAGGAAGCCGTGGAATTTCTCTGCACTAGGCTTCACCCCAGGGAGTGTTGTGGAGCCCAGGCTCTCTCTGCAGGTAGCAAAGATAAGGCACTGTCAGAGACTGAGGTGTCAAAAGAGGAGGTTCTGGCACAAACACATCTTTTGCACTACACTAGTGCTACCTCCCAAAGTCCTGAAAGATGTGGCTGAGCTGCTACCCAAAATGCTGAAATATAATGTGAATCCATTCAAGTCACCTTCCATAGAGGAGGAACCAAAGGGGGCTGTATTACAAGATTTTACAGAGGAGGCAGAGATTACAGACCAGCTTCCGAACCAGCTACATGGACTGAAACAATCCAAACCTAGGTGAAACGAATATGAGGGGATCTGACCAAATGAACCTACTGGGATTCACTAGAGTGCCTCAGCAAGATGAAGAAGAGCCGGGTGATGCTCTTAATTCCAGCTTCCAGAAAGCCATTGGCAAAGTTCCTCCAAGCGCCATAAAGGAAACAGAGGCATCATGGGGTGACTGGTGAAGCATTGTCATGGCCTGGATACTGGGAAGGGCCAGGGCATGAAGAGCAGAGCTCACAGGTCAGTTTTCCAACCCAGAAGAAGGTTGGCAGCGGGAGGACAGTGGCAGGGGTTGCTGACTGATGCGTGGGAAGCAGCGTGGTCCAATGAATGAAGCATTGGCCTGGGACCCATAGACTGCTCTGATCCTGGCTCTACGCTTGACCTGCTCTGTGACTTTGGACAAGTTACTTTTCCTCCCTCATCTATTTGGATAATAAGCTTTATATACAGACAAGAGGATTATACGGAGAAAATGCCAACCCTCTCCAGACAGCTTTTGGAGGGGCTATGATGCCTCATTCTTTGGAACAAACACGATTTGGGGTTGAGAGGAAACTATTCCTGGAGTGAGTTGAGCCTGTAACTGCTCACTGCAGAAATTCTTCACCTTCCTCAGAGGCATATGAACTGGCCACTATTGGAGGCTGGACTAGATGGATCATAGAATCATAGAGCTGGAAGAGACCTCAGGAGGTTTGGGTCACCATGATTTGACCCAGCCTGCCAATTCCCATAGCCCCATGTTCTTTGGGGCAGGGTCTGTCTCTCACTGTGTGTCTGTGTAGCGTCCAGAACGAAATTTTGATTGGGGTTTCTAGGCACTTATCTAATACTAATGAAATATATGGACTAGCGTTATACTGTGAAGGTCTATCATCAGCCACATTCCTAAATGCAGACAGAGAGTTGTTGACTGGATGAGGCCCAAGTTAACCATTTGGAAGGAGTTCAGTTAGCATCTCTGATGGATGCGTAAGACACTTCTTGTGGATCTGTCCACAAAATCCTGGGTAATTGCCTGTGTGAGGGGCGTCAATGACTGAGAATCACTAACCAAGACATATATCAAAAGAACTGAAATACCGGGAAGTTCTTTCTTGAAATACAGATCACAGCAGGGAAAGACCTGGGGGGTTAAAAGAGATGGATGGAGGACATCTGAGCTCTGACAAACAGAATATTAGGCCCTAAAAACAGGAAAGGTTTTTTTTGTATGGGTTAAGGTGTGAATTAAAGTCAGCATATATATCACACCACATGGACAACATTCCAGTTAAAACCAATTTGTTTCTGGTTTACTTTATGTCCCTTGGGACAGGTTTTAAAATAAGCTGAAAAAAATCACTCCTATACTAAAATAAAACTTTCTACATGGGGGTTTAACTGGTATAATAGAACAACGTTTATTGCTGGTAAAACTTTCCTGTATAGAGAAGGAAGGGGCACTGCTTTTTAGAAATTCAACATATTTTCCTTTTAGTCTTCTGTTACCAAGAGCATATCATCTACTGAAGATTACAAGCGATTTAAATCTAGATATATCATGCAATTAGATTCTTTGGATTTACTAGAATAGTTTCTCTATTTTGAGTGTATCTGGCTTGTTTTTAAGGAGATGGTAGGAGTAAGAATGAGTAAGAACAATATTCTTTGGGTCATTTCACTATGAATACCCCGAGAGCAAAAACAATCTATTCCAGTCCTGCCACTGGTCTGCTGGGAGACCTTGGGCAAGTCCTTTACTGCTCTCTGGGTCTCTGGTCAAGCCTACACTATAAACTTACATCAGTAGAACTACGTTGCTCAAAGGTTTGAAAAAATCCACAGCCCGAGCGACACAGTTAAACTGACCTAACTCCTGCTGAAGCAAAATGCAGGACAAT